CTGTCTCTTTCTGGTGAGCACATATGCCCTATAGCAAAATTAAGAAGTAATCATATAAATAAATAAAATTAAATAAATACTTCTAGAAAAGAAATGAGACGGTCCTGGATTCATCTGATCCATTCAGCATTGGTTAGACACCTACTGTGTGCTGCGTGGGAGGTGCTGGGTTGAACAAAACGAAATGACTCTGTTCTTGGCTCTGTTGCTACGAGCTGTGTGACCTTGGGCAGGCTGCTTAGCCGAGTCTCCCTTTCTGATGTGTGGGTGGAAGGACACACCGGGAGGACTGGGTACGATAGGGTAGGACATGCCCTCAGCGCAGTGCCTGGCCCTCGGGTAGCTGCTTCGGAGACGTTTGGTGAGTGAGCGAGTGAATGAAAAGGTCCTCGTGAGGAAGAAGTAGTGGCCCTGCTGCTTCCCGGGATGCTGCACAGGAAGAGTCAGTCTGGACAGAGGCAGGCTCCATGCATCGAGAGGCAGAGTTGGGCCCAGGAAGTGGCTGTCGGTGTTGCCATCCCTCCACCGGATGGCAGGCAGGCTACCCAGAGGTCAGGGGGTGGGAGTACGCCTTGCAGATTCTCCTGGGCACTTCGAGCTCAGGTGCCCAGCGTCCAGTAGGATCCCTTGTTTCAGGCTTGGCTGGCCAGCGTTGTAGCGGATGCCCTTCTGGTTTCTGGGGAGATGGCCACAAAGGTTTTCCCAAAAGCCCCCTGAAGCCTTGTGGACAGATCTGAGGAAGTGGGGGGCCTGCCGGGGTGGTGTCTCACATATCATTTCCCCTTCTTTGCAGGACTACTGCACCCCAGAGATCAGCCTGTTCTCTGAGGAGGGCCTCGAGGGGGAGCAAATGAAACTAACGGAGGCACTCAGGGACCCTCGGGGGCTGGAGAGGCCCCTGCAGGCGGCATCTGCCGTGGTCTCCGCAGGACTGTGAGTCTGGGCTCTTTGGAAACCCTGTCATTTAATATTCACTGTGCTGGGTCCTGGGGACACAGGTGACAGCACACAGTTCCTGCTTCCGTCTGCTGGTGGGGACAGGCAAGTCAGCGGACAGTAGCAATCCATAGTTCTGGGATGGGGAGCCCGGGCCTTCGGGATCATGGAAGAGTGCCAAACAGGGGAAAGGGCAAGGAAGTCAGAATGACCTTCCTGGAGGAAGAGGCACCTCAACTGGAATGACCAAGAATTTAGGCTCATGGGGGCAGGGACTTCTGTGTTGTTTGGTACTCCATCCCTGATGCCCTAAACAGTCCCCTAACTCTTTGCTGATTGGACGAGTGGGGAACAGTATACCTGGCAGAGGGAACAGCATTTGCAAGGCCAGAGGTGGGAGAGCCAAGCTTCAAAGTGTGTGCCTGGCCAGTGTGAGCAGCAGGTGAGACACAGGGAGCCCAGGAGGCAGGAAGGGGCCAGCTCATGGAGCCTTAGTAGCTGGCTTTTTCACGAGGCTACGGGGGGTTAAGCAGATATGTGTGGAATTAGACACAGTGAAGCCAGAGGACAGGGGGCCAATGGAGTGCTACTGAAGGGACTGCAGGATGGAAATGTCCCCTGAAGCCTTCCCCAGACGCTTTCTCCTCCCCTCTAAACCTGCCCTTGCACCCACTGATCCGTGTCCCTTGCAGTCTGGGTTGCAGAGGCCTCTCTGTCTTCCCCAGGTGGCTGCTGTACCCCAAACCATTCTTTGAAGATACCCCCTGCATCCTGGAGCCCGGAGAGTATCCCACCTCAGAGGCCTGGGGTGCACTGGACGCTGCTGTGGGCTCCCTGAAGCCCCTGAGACTGGTAAAGGGCGCCACCCACCGGCCTGTGGGGTGAGACTCTGCGGCTGGTCCCAAGGGCGGGCCTGCGGTCTGCAGGAAGGAGGGGGAGGAAATGAAGTGCAAACCTCTACCCCTGGAGACTCCGCTGGGAGCCCCTACTGGGTGGGACTGGGCTGGAGAAAGGGAGGACTGGCTGGAAGGGTGAGAGAGAGGGAGGACATGGGCCCCACTATTTTTGGGGGGGATCAGGGTTGAGAAAACCCTAGTCCCAAGCCTCATCCGACTTCCTCCACCTGGGTTGGAGCTCAACTCCATCTCCTCTGTAGGGCTGCCCAAGCGTGGAGAAGCCGGGGGAGCCCAAGGTGAGTCGGCTTCGGGGGCAAAAGGGCCTTCACTGCTGTCATGGCCAGGAGGGCTACCAGGGGGGAGGGTGGCGGTGAGGGGCAGAAGCCATCTGGAGGACGGACACTGATGGGTCCACTGGGGACCAGCTGTAGCTGTGTGGGGCCCGGTCAGGGGTCAGAGCGGAGATGGGAGTCAGGCGGAGGGATGCGTGGTGGCAGGTGGGAGGATCGGGTGGCAGCTGTGTGCTGATGCCTGGCAGAGCCATCATGGGGCTGATCTCAGCTTCGAAATGTCAGTCTACCGCGTAAGCAGGAAGCGGGGATTGGTGGCTGTTTGGGTCCAGATGGCTGCCCCCGACCTGACACCCGCTTTTCCCAGGCTGTGGTGTACGAGGCCCCAGGCTTCCAGGGCCAGAGCTGGGAAGTGAGCAGGGACATCTACAACCTTCAGCAGCCAGAGGACAGCCAGAGCCCTCACCTGGCCTCTGTGGGATCCCTGCGAGTGCTGGGGGGCTGGTGAGAACTCAGACCCTTCCTTAGACCTTATCGCCCCCACTGCCTTTACCCCTGGGGGTGAGGGGACTCCTGGCCTCCGAGGGGTGGGGGCAGCCGTCTTACCTACCACAGACTTCCTGCAGTTGACTGCGTCCTCTCCCTCTCCCAGCTGGGTGGGCTATGAGAAGGAGGGCTTTCGAGGCCACCAGTATCTGCTGGAGGAGGGGGAGTACGCAGACTGGTCACGCTGGGGAGGCTATGATGAGCGGTTAACATCCCTGCGGGTCATCCGGACGGTGAGCAAAGGCAGTCACCCTGCTCTGGTCACAGCCAGACCTTCCCCGGAGTCACTGGAAGGATTTGCCCCACCAACCCCCACCTTCTCCTCGCTGCTCCTCTGTAGGCCATACCCCTGACCCCTAACTCCCCGGTGGACTGTGTCCCCCGGGTCTGGATAATCCCAAGGGTTTTCGTCGGTGGGCGGGAGAAACCTGACTGTCCCTGGGGCCCAGGACTTCGGGGACCCGGCCATAGTGCTGTTTGAGGACATGGACTTCGAGGGGCGCGGCGTGGAGGTGAGCAAAGCATTGCCAGATGTGGAACTAGTGGGACACGGCCCCCGCACGCAGGCCATCCACGTGCTCAGCGGCGTGTGAGTGATCCCAGCCCCGGGAGCCTGGCAGGCTGGGCGGGCAGGACACGGTTCTGGGAGTCGCTGGCTCCGCCGCCGCTGACCCGTGCCCACCCTTCTTGCAGGTGGGTGGCCTATCAGGAAGTGGGCTTCTCGGGGGAGCAGTACGTTCTGGAGAAGGGCGTGTACCGTAACTGCGACGACTGGGGTGCCGGCAACAGCATCCTCGCCTCGCTGCAACCAGTCCTGCAGGTGCGTTCAAGTCGCGGCGGGCGGGGCTTATTTGAAGGGCGGGACTTGGAGGCTGCGGCCGAGGGGCGGGGCTGGAAGGCCTGACTGGAGCGCTAGAGATCCGGCACCTGAGGAGGGGCGTGGCTCCTGCAGGGGCGTGGTTCAGGGGAAGGCCAGAGCTCCGAGAAGGGGCGTGGCTCCAGGGAGGGGCGTGGCTCCGGGGAGGGCCGAGGCTCAGGGGGAGGGCGTGGTTCCGGGGAGTGCCGAGGCTCTGGGGAGGGGCGTGGCTCCGGGGAGGGCCTAGGCTCAGGGGCAGGGCGTGGCTCCGGGGAGAGCCTAGGCTCAGGGGAAGGGCGTGGCTCCGGGGAGAGCCCAGGTTAGCAAACCTGGGACCGACGAGAGCCACCGCGGGGCGGCAATATCGAAACCCGGAGGTTAGGGAAGGGGGCTGGCCCTCCTTAATCTCGGAACTTTGGTTCTTCCTTCAGGTCGGAGAGCACGATCTGCACTTTGTCTCAAAGGTGAGGCGGGGACTCCGCAGGGGCCGGTGGCGCGCACGTCTCCTGTCCCCTCATTTCTAAGATTCCCTCTTGACCAAGCCCTCTGTCCCACTCGCTCGCCCTCTCTCATCTCGCTTTCTTCCTCCAGATTCAGCTTTTCTCCGGCCCCGACTTCCTGGGCGACCACCTCTGCTTCGAGGATGACCAGCGCTCGCTGCCCGCCTCCTTCCAGCCCCAGTCCTGCCGTGTCCACGGTGGCAGGTGAGGTCGCGGGGAGCGCTCTGCGCGCGAGGGGTTGGGCGAGGGCGCACCTGCTCTGAAGCGCCTGTCTCCGGAATGGAGGCCCAAGAGAAGAGTCTTTCTTCAGGTGATTCCCTTCCTTCTGCTTCCTTGAAACTAACAGAGACATTCCATTTTAAAACAAACAAAATAGGGACCAGCAGTTAGCGTACTGGCTATGTCGCTGGACTCCCACGTAGTTGACTGTGGTTTGAGTCCTGGACCTGGTGGCTTAAAATCACGCTGGGCGCGTGTGTGTGCGTGCCCAAGATCCCGAGAGGAAAATGGAGGAGAAGGGATTGCGGTGTGGACGTCCCCCTGTGGGGTGATTTCTCGCCTTTCTGTCTTTCTTGTGAGTGCACACACCCAATACCAAAAACCTCTCCCCTAAAAAACAAAAAACAAACAAAATTAAGTTTTAATAGAAAATATTAAACTGTAGGTATGTATAGTATAAAGAATCTCGACCTTGTTTCATCTATCCCTCTGCTTTTATTTTTAAGTGGAGTAACTTTTTAAATTATTATTTTATTTTACTTTATTTATTTTAATTTGACCAGAGAGGGACAGAGCGAGAGAGAGAGGGAGAAAGCAAGTCGCTGGGTCTGGGACTCAAACTGCAGTCGTCCATGTGGGAGTACCAGCACCCTTAACCACCATGCCACCTGCTGGCCCCTAAAGTGGAGTATTTGAATCCCCAACCCTACACATATTTCACCAGTTAACAATGACTGTGTATCTCTAAGAAGAAAGGACTTCTTTCCCATTAGTCACAAGCAGTTCTCACACCTCAAAATAAGCAGTAAATCGTTAATACTACCTGAAGAGTCAGCCCCTGTTCACATTTCTCCTGTTGTCTCAGAAATGCTTTTATGAAATAACCTTGTGTTTTTCAGGATTCAAGTAAGGGCCACACAATGCTTTTGGTCATATTTGGTCCTTCCCATTCTTGGCTAGATCAGGCTAATCGGGCTTTGTTTCGCTGGCTAGGCAGCTTGGCAGGAGGTGCCATGTACTTCCCATTCCCACTGCTGATCTTACTTATAATAATATTAAGAGTCCTATATTATAAGAATTCCCATTTATCCTTCCCCTAATGATTTTACCATCCAGTGGTGATAATTGTCTAGACTCGTTATTTCTTTAAAGATTACAACATGATTTTCTAATGTTTGTTACTCCTTTTTTAATTAATTGACTAATTAATTAATTAACTTCAATTTGGTCAGAGAGGGACAGAGTGAGAGAGAGGGAAAGTGAGAACGCAAACCACCAAGTTGGGACTCAAACTGTGGTTGGCCATGTGGGAGTCCAGCACCCTTAACCACCATGCCACCTGTTGGCCCCTGTTTGTTACGCTTTCTACACATTTTAGCTAGAATACTTCTTATAGAAGTATTCCCTTTTCTTATTTATTTATTTATTGTTGAGGTTTTTGCTATAGGGTACGTGCGCACACCAGAAAGACAGAGAGAGACAGAGAGACAGAAAGCGAGAAACCACCCTTCTCCAAAGGGGATGGCTATACCACAATCCCTTCTCCATTCTTCTCTCAGGATCTTGGGCACGCATGCACACACGCCTGGCTTGAGTTTAAGCCACCAGGTCTGGGATTTGAACCATGGTCGACTACATGGGAGTCCAGTGACATAGCCATTATGCCAACTGCTGGCCCCTCTTTATTTTATTTTTTTTTAAGAATTATTTTATTTATCTTTATTTATTTGTTTTAATTTGACCAGAGTGGGACAGAGTGGGAGAGAGAGAGAAAGAAAGAGAAAGCAAGCTGCCAGGTCCAGGACTCGAACCGCAGTTGGCCATGTGGGAGTCCAGCGCCCTTACCCACCACACCACTTGCCTGCCCGAAGTATTCCCTTTTCAGTATTTGGTTACCTAAAATAGTTTGTACCAAGAAGGCAGTTTGATTGTTTTCTAAGACCAGTGTTTGACCCCTTTTCTTTATCAAGTTCCAAAATATTGAATAATTTCCTGATGGGTGGCCTAGCACTCTCTAAATCTGACCGATGAAGTTTTCCTTACGTATTGTGAACTTATGGGTTTTATGTATGATTGTATATGCTTTAGGCCATGGCAGTCACTCTTCTCTTGTGTGTTCACATTGCTCCATCTTTAGCCAACGAGACCCTCTTCAGCTTGTCTCTGGGTCCTTTTCTTTTTTTTTTTTTGAGAGGTTTTTCACTGTAGGGCGCGTGCACTTACCAGACAGACAGAGAGAGACGGAGAGACAGAAAGTGAGAAATCACCCCCCAGGTGCTGGTTCCCTCTGGGTCCTTTTGATACGACCTTGATTGTTTGGTTAGCTTCCTTGTTTTCCCGATCCAAGCATCATGTCGTATGTTTCTTGCCCCAGTTCTGGAATCAGTTAGAGAATCCTGGCTGCTTTTAATGGGAAATGGCAAAAATTGGCATGCTAGGTGTTTCAAAATTATAATGTTGATATTACTCCGAACGTTAAAAATCATTGAATATTGGGACCAGCAGTTAGCATAATGGCTATGTCGCTGAACTCCCATGTAGTCCACCGCAGTTCGCGTCCCGGACCCGGTGGCTTAAAATTCACGCCAGGCGCGTGTGCGTGCGTGCCCAAGATCCCGAGAGGAGAATGGAGGAGAAGGGATTGCGGTGTGTCCATCCCCCTGGGGAGAAAGCGAGAAACCACCCTTCTCCAAAGGGGATGGCTATACCACAATCCCTTCTCCATTCTTCTCTCAGGATCTTGGGCACGCATGCACACACGCCTGGCTTGAGTTTAAGCCACCAGGTCTGGGATTTGAACCATGGTCGACTACATGGGAGTCCAGTGACATAGCCATTATGCCAACTGCTGGCCCCTCTTTATTTTATTTTTTTTTAAGAATTATTTTATTTATCTTTATTTATTTGTTTTAATTTGACCAGAGTGGGACAGAGTGGGAGAGAGAGAGAAAGAAAGAGAAAGCAAGCTGCCAGGTCCAGGACTCGAACCGCAGTTGGCCATGTGGGAGTCCAGCGCCCTTACCCACCACACCACTTGCCTGCCCGAAGTATTCCCTTTTCAGTATTTGGTTACCTAAAATAGTTTGTACCAAGAAGGCAGTTTGATTGTTTTCTAAGACCAGTGTTTGACCCCTTTTCTTTATCAAGTTCCAAAATATTGAATAATTTCCTGATGGGTGGCCTAGCACTCTCTAAATCTGACCGATGAAGTTTTCCTTACGTATTGTGAACTTATGGGTTTTATGTATGATTGTATATGCTTTAGGCCATGGCAGTCACTCTTCTCTTGTGTGTTCACATTGCTCCATCTTTAGCCAACGAGACCCTCTTCAGCTTGTCTCTGGGTCCTTTTCTTTTTTTTTTTTTGAGAGGTTTTTCACTGTAGGGCGCGTGCACTTACCAGACAGACAGAGAGAGACGGAGAGACAGAAAGTGAGAAATCACCCCCCAGGTGCTGGTTCCCTCTGGGTCCTTTTGATACGACCTTGATTGTTTGGTTAGCTTCCTTGTTTTCCCGATCCAAGCATCATGTCGTATGTTTCTTGCCCCAGTTCTGGAATCAGTTAGAGAATCCTGGCTGCTTTTAATGGGAAATGGCAAAAATTGGCATGCTAGGTGTTTCAAAATTATAATGTTGATATTACTCCGAACGTTAAAAATCATTGAATATTGGGACCAGCAGTTAGCATAATGGCTATGTCGCTGAACTCCCATGTAGTCCACCGCAGTTCGCGTCCCGGACCCGGTGGCTTAAAATTCACGCCAGGCGCGTGTGCGTGCGTGCCCAAGATCCCGAGAGGAGAATGGAGGAGAAGGGATTGCGGTGTGTCCATCCCCCTGGGGGGGTGATTTCTTACTTTCTGTCTCTCTGTCTCTCTCTGTCTGTCTGGCTAGCACACACGCCCTATAGCAAAAACCTCTCCCCCCCCAAAAAAAATCATTGGATATTGTCTAAGGTTCTTTGTGGCTCTTTTTGTCCTCAGGATGCTCATCTTCATCCTATTAGACATATATCATTCACACTATTGATATTATGATTTTAAGGCATTTGTAATCATGTTTCTGTGTATGTATGGTTAGGTCACCAACCTGATATTCAGTTAGATTCATTTATTATTTATTTTCAGTTTGTAGGAAAATTCTTATTTTTTTTTCCTTTCTGAATTTTCCATAGTGTACATGTGCTCACTGGAGAGAGATGAGAGACAGAGAGAGAGAAAGAGAGCGAAAGAGAGATCACCCTCTGGGTGGGGTGGCCACGGAGCGATCCCTTCTCCTCCATCCTCCTCTTGTGGTTCTGGTCATGCACACAGACATGCCTGGCATGTCTCCCACGCCACCAGTTGTGGAACTCGGACTGTGGAGTTGGCCATGTGCGATCTAGCACCTTAGCCACCAGGCCGCCTGATGGCCGTTATTTTTCATTTTTATTTCCTTTTAAAAGCATTTTTTAAAGTTTATTTATGGGACCAGCAGATGGCGTAATGGTTACATCCCTGGCCTCCCACATGACTGACTGTGGTTCGAGTCCCAGACTCGGGCTTCAAACTCACGCCGGGCACTTGTGCATGTGTGGCCAAAATCTTGAGAGGGGAATGGAGGAGAAGGGATTACAGGGTGGCCATCCTCCCTGGGGGTGATTTCTTGCTTTCTGCCTCTTTCTTTCTCCCTGGTGAGTGCATGAGTCCTATAGCAAAACTCTCTCTATTAAAATCAAAAAAAGTTTATTTATTTCTTCCATAGAAAGATCAACACCCCCAACAGGGACTTCGCACTGTCACCACCTCACTCTCAGCCGGTCCGGCTTGTGGTCATGCTCGTGCCTTCCACGCCCAGGAAAGGCAGGCACCTTTTTGCCATTTGGGTCTAGTGGCATTTACCACTGCGCCACCACCTGGACCCCTGTTTGTTTGTTTGTTTTTAAAATAATTCATTTTTAAGGGATTATTTTATTTAACTTTATTTTTTTATCTTGACCAGAGAGG